GAATGTGGTATAATTTGCCCTGATTTTCCAATTCCCCTCAACACGCACGACACTTCGAAAACCGCCGTGTATGTGTAAAAAAAACCGTCGGTGGTTATTTAAAGTGTATGACGTAAAAAATTAATTAAGGTATATACGGTGGTTATTTAAAAAACCGTCGCCTATTAAGTGCCATAGTATAACAAATTATATTAGATGGTGGTTATTTAAAAAACCTTCATCTATTAATTAAGTGACGTAGTATACCATTTATGTAGTAGTGATTAGCATTCAAAAAAAAAATGTAGTAGTGATTAGGTATGCAATTTGCAATTTTAGTATAACTCAGGGACGAAAAGTGCAATGCCAATGATAACTTAGGGACGAAAAGTGAGCATGACCAACACTCAGGGACGAATTCTACAATTACTCTATAACTCAGAGGCGAAAAGTGCAACACCAATGATAACTTAGGAATAAAAAGTGAGCATAACCAACACTCATGGACGAATTCTACAATTACCATATAACTTAGGGACGAAAAGTGCAATTTTTTCAAAGTTTTATTGTTACAGAGAAAAATCTCTTAAAATTATTATATTAAATATATTGGGTGATGATTTGGAGGCCAAGTAAGCCTACTAGATAAAACAAATAAAAAATGTCTAAGTGTACTTTTTTTTCTTCCTAAAATCAATGATCTCTTTAAAACTTTTTAAATTTGTTAGTGTTTTTAATTGTTCAAAAAACCCCATCATATAATTGGCAATATTATTATGGCATACTAAGATAGGTTTAGCTTGTGTCGCCCATCTTTACAGAAGACTGATCAATCAGAAGCAACAACAGAGGACTGACACTGAAGGTCTGTTTTAAAAAGGTGTTTACTTAAAAGCTGTACGCGATTTACTGAAGACAGATTTGGAAAAAAGATTAGCGTATCTGCTTTGGAAAGGTATAGACCGGATCTTTAAGATTACATTCTTCAAATATTATCATACCATCTACAATCAAGGACATCTATGGAAGGAGTGTTCTATCGACGAATCTATAAGTACCCGCATTCAAAGAGAATTAGGGTTATGCCTTTGAGACAGAAAAAACACTCCATATAGTTTTTATGAGATCTCATCTTTTATTTGATTGCACCTTCTCAACACAATATGTGTATGGTGATTATGATGATGAACATGAGAAGGATTTCTACTGCTTAAACGAAAGAACACTACGATCACACAGTTGTGGGAACAACTGAACAGAGCGTCACTGAAGTGGACTGCATCAGAGTTGGTTCTCCAAGTGAAGGGATTTCCTTGGACTTCTGGATGCGTGGCTCTCCATCTTCAACCATCCACTAAACCAGTGTAGACTGGGTACGTACCTTGTGTGGGGCACTAGGGAGAGATTATTGTTTCTCTACCTTTGTACATTGGATTATGATTTAGTGGATTGAACGCATATGTGATTGTCCCCCCAGACATAGATACACACTGTATCGAACTGGGTAAACATCTTGTGTGTTGGTGTGTCTCTTTATCTTCTTCTTTTATATTAACGGTTACTCACCTTACTGATTGATCTCATTAGTAAGTCAGTTAATCATATCCGTCAGTCTAAATACAGTAATCTTGTTTAAGAATGAGGAAATGCAAAAATTACATGTGGTATCAGAGCTTTTAAGTCTACATAGTGACTTGATCCTTATGGGAATTGTTTTTGCATTAGTCTCTTTCTGTTGGCTGGTTGTTTGTGTTTAGGATGGATGCAAATATGAAACCTCCTGAACTAGATGGCCACAACTACTCCTTCTGGAAGGCTCGCATGGAAATCTACCTTCAAGCACAATGTACCAGGGTCTATCGAACTGTTTTATCTGGTTGGAGCAAACCAACGACTCAGAATCTTGATGGAACTACTGGAGAAAAACCCATTGAAACCTGGACAGAAGATGAAATAAGTGTCTCTGATCTGAACAACAAAGCTTTGAACTCTATTGTTGGATATCTGCATGAATCTGGTTTTACACTCGTTACGGGAGTAAAAGAAGCTAAGCGAGTTTGGGAAATACTGGAAACGAGATTTGAGGGCACTAGTGATGTCAAACAGTCAAAACTGCAGATGGTTTTGTCTGAATTCGAAGCTCTCAGAATGAACGAAGAGGAAACTATTTCAGTTTTTCACAGCCGGGTGCAGAATCTTATGAATAAAGCTGTTATTCTTGGTGAACCTTTCACCGATGAGAGAGTTGTCAAAAAAAATCCTTCGATCCTTACCCAAACGCTTTCGAATGAAAGTAACTGCTATTCAGGAACATACAGGATGGGAAAAGAAGAGTGTGGGAGAACTCATGGGAAGTTTACACACATACGAACTTGAAGTTCTGGCTGATGATGATCCTCTTTCTACCAGAAAAGGCAAGTCAGTTGCCTTTGTGGCTGAAGCTGATCGAGAATCTGACACAGATGACATAGATGATGAAACTTTGGCTCTTCTGACCAAGAACTTTAAGAAAATTTTGAAAGGCTTCAACAAAAAGGATCAAGGACAATCTACCAGATCACAATACAAAGGTAGTAACTCCTCTTATCAGAAAACTGAAACCGCACCGTTTTCCCAGAACACACAACCTCAAATTGATCGGACAAGGCAAAACAGAAACAGTACCACAGATACAGGCAGATCTCTCAACCGATCAGTGCAATGTAGAGAATGTGAAGGTTTTGGACCAACAAAAAGGATCAAGGACAATCTACCAGATCACAATACAAAGGTAGTAACTCCTCTTATCAGAAAACTGAAACCGCACCGTTTTCCCAGAACACACAACCTCAAACTGATCGGACAAGGCAAAACAGAAACAGTACCACAAATACAGGCAGATCTCTCAACCGATCAGTGCAATGCAGAGAATGTGAAGGTTTTGGACACATACAAGCTGAATGTGCAACGTATCTCATAAGGAAGAAAGCTATGTCAGTCGCTACACTGAGTGATGATGAGGAGGAACCTACATTTGATCAGTCAGACGACAATGTAGGAAAATTATGTAGCTTTCTATACAGCTACTGATAATCAGTCAGATAATAACGAGTCTGATGAAGAGTCATACATCTCCACTGATGATTTTGAAGAGAGACATACTCAGCTGGAAGTAGAATTTGCCAAACTTGTTGCAAGTTGGGAACAACTGGTGAAAGTCAACAAGAATCTGAATGAAGAACTGAGACTGAAGGATGATCTTCTAAAGAAACTAAACACATATCTTGTCCTAAAAGAAGACCTTATAACTCAAATAAGATCCAGAGAAGGAAAATTGATAAAATAATTGGATGATTTGAAGAAAAATATTAAGATGATGGACACCACGTCAACCTTAGACAAAATTCTGGATTCAGGCAGAAATCCGAATCATAAAAAGGGTCTTGGATTTGAGCGAGGTGAGTCTTCGAAGAGGGTTCCTGTGTTCATCAAAGAAGGATTGTCAAGTCTGTCAGTTCTGAAATCTGGGCACAGTTATGATAAACGACAGTTTGATAAATCAGTTCAGGCCGAATATGAGAGGAATGGATACAATCAACCAACAGGCACTAACTTCGGCAGAACTGCTCCTAAATCTCAGTATTTAAAATTTGAAAATAAGTTCGTCCGTGTTAAACAATATACTCCTATCTGTCATTACTGTCAAGAAAAAGGGCACACCAGACCAGAGTGTTATTTCTTCTATAGAGATCAAAGAAAGGAAAAGTACAAAAATAAGACTATTGCTCCCTTTAGAAGGCAGGTATGGGTTAGAAAGTCAGAAGTAATATGCTACCCCACGATAGTACTAACCACATCAATAACTGATGCCAGATGGTATTTCGACAGTGGTTGTTCTAAGCATATGACAGGAAACGTGAAGTGTCTCATGTCTGTTCAACCAAACAGTGGGTCTGTTACATATGGAGATGGACAAAAAGGTAAAATAATTGGGAAAGGTACACTGAATGTGCCAGGTTTACCTCACTTGGAAGAAGTTCTGTTGGTCAGTGGACTGAAAGCTAATTTGATCAGTATAAGTCAGTTGTGTGATCAAAACTGGAATGTGTGTTTCAACCGCAACTATTGCAGAGTTAGTGACAACTTAGATCAGTTAGTCATGGAAGGAACCCGATCTTCAGACAACTGCTATGTGTTGATTGACAGAGAACAAAGAGGAAAATTTGAACTCGAAAGGAATGAGAGCATCTTTCTTAGTTACTCTCCAAACAGTCGGGCATACAACAAGAGAACTCAGTCTGTGATGGAATATGTAAATATGGTGATAGAAGACAACCCAGATGAGTCAGTGGAAACATCCGTATCTGCGTCTGAGGCAGTCCCTCCTATCAGTGAAGTAAGAACTACTGATGACAATAATCAGCCCAAGAATTTAGAATCTTCAGACGATGATCAAGAAAGATCTGATCAAGAAAGCACTCATCCTACAGATACAGACAAGGACAAACCTACCAAAACTCAGAAAAACCATCCATCTGACTTTAAAAATAAGACAGATGAAGCAGGAAATATTGCAAGGTACAAAGCTCGGTTAGTGGCACAAGGGTTACACCCAGATTGAAGGAATTGACTATGATGAGACGTTTGCTCCCGTAGCAAGACTCGAGTCAATCAGGATTCTGTTGTCTGTCGCATGTATTCTGGGATTCACACTGTTTCAGATGGAAGTTAAGACAACATTCTTGAATGGCTATCTGCACGGAGATATTTATGTGGCTCAACCTAAAGGATTCGAAGATCCAGATCATCCATCATATGTTTATAAGCTTCGAACGGCTCTCTATGGTCTCAACCAAGCTCCACAGGCGTGGTATGAACGACTGACTCTGTACTTACTTCAACATGAATATAAACGAGGTAGTGTGAACAAAACCTTGTTTGTAAAAACTACTGGAAGTCACATTACCACTGCCCAAATATCTGTTGATGACATTGTGTTTGGGTCAACCAACCAGAAATACACTGATGAGTTAGTTAACGCTATGAAGGAAGAGTTTGAAATGTCCATGGTTGGTCAGCTGGCGTATTCTCTAGGACTGCAACTCAAGCAAGGTTCTGAAGGATACTTTATCTCACAAGAAAAGTATGCTAAGAATCTAGTCAAGAAATTTGATCTGGAATCATGTAAACCATCCAGGACACCTGTCTCTACATCCACAAAAGTATCAAAAGATGAAACAGGTGTATCAGTGGATAACACAGTCTATTGGAGCCTGATAGGCAGTCTGTTGTATCAAACTGCCAGTCGTCCAGACATAATGTTCAGTGTGAGAATCTGTGCAAGGTATCAAATCTGATCCAAAGGAATTGCAGTTTATAGCTGCTCAACGAATTCTGAAATACATCAAAGGAACAATTCAGTATGGTCTACGGTACTCCAAGGACAGTGAGCTGAGTCTGATTGGATACTGTGATGCTGACTGGGTTGGGAACATTGATGACCATAAAAGCACGTCTAGTGGTTGCTTCTTTGTTGATCAGAACTTGGTGTCATGACTTCTTTAAGTACTGCAGAGGCAGAATACATAGCTGCTGGTGGATGTTGTACTCAGTTAGTATGGATGAAACAGATATTATTAGACTATGGTCTTACTCAAGGAATTATGACACTTTACTGAAGCAATGTTAGTGCCATTAATATCTCAAAGAATCCTGTTCAACAGTCCAGAACAAAGCATATTGATATAAGGCATCACTACACCAGATACCTGGTAGAGTCAAATGAGATTGAGTTGGAATATATTCAAACAGAGAAACAGTTGACTGATATCCTGACTAAGCCCCTAGACGCGAACCAGTTTGAGATTCTCAGATCTGTTCTGGGAATCTGCAGAGTTGATTAATAGGGCAGATCATCACTCAGAAGGAGAGTGCAAGGTTTAAGTTTTCTGGTCAAATTTCAGTTTTGACTTCCTTTTAAAACTTCCTTCGTTTTTAAGAAAATATCTTAACCTAAAAGTAATTAGGCTTTTTCAAATTTGAAATATGCCTAGTTTCCGTTTCTTGCCTAAAAAGGAGGAATACCGTTGCGTCGATCACGTCATCTCTGCATGTATTCTGACTAGCTGCATTTATTGGGGTTCTTCTTCCTTGGGTTTATAATCGCGTTTCGAGTAAGTCTTGAGGAAGCGAACAAGAGACTCTCCCTCTACACACAGTCTATATTCTCCTTGATCGTCTATCTAGGGTTTACTTCTTCGTCCTCTCAAATCTCTCATCAACGGCGGATGCAGTTCGTAATATGATCATCAAGCTTGGAAGAAATGTGCATTCACAAGAAACAGCAACCAAACATGTCAAAACCTTGCTTATGTTGGCTATGAAGAAAAAATTGAAGCTTGATCCTCTTCTCCGCGACGAAATCATTATCACTGTACTGTCCGATTATCCTGAGTTTTATGCCGACTGGTCCGACGATGACACCAGTGAACTTTTGCTGCTGGCCTCCGAAGCAGGTGATGATATTTTTCCGACATCTATTCCAGAGCCCTCGGATGGAAATTGTGCTGGGGCGTTCCTCCATTACTTTGCTCAAAGAGCCCTTGAGTCTGAAGAAATCTCCCGTCGACGAGAAATTGCTCAACCTTTGTATCTTCAGGCTGCGAAGAATGAAGCTAAACATCGCATTGAGATTCTGCAAAACAGGTCTAATTCCTCTGACTCTCCTATAGATATTTCACCTGATAAACCTGAGACTCTGGTGTCAAATGCTACCCCATCTATTATTCATGTTGATTCTGAGAATGTGTCGGCTTTAGTCTCTGAAAAACCATTTGTATCTGTCGATCCTCTTTGCTTATAGGTTGAAAAGTCTGATCCCTTGCATAATGAGTCTCCTAGAGCATTTGTAGAGAAGTACAAGCCGTCTGATGAACCCAACAATCTAAGTATTGTTATTTTTGATACTGATAACTTTGCTCTGCCTCCTGCTGTTGTTGTCGATGTCCCACAAGAAGTCGATTCTTCTGTTAATCCCTCTGATATGCCTGCTGTGATTGAAAATGTGAAATCTTCTAGCCCCCGTGAACAAGCTAGGCATGTTGCTGGTCAACCTACTGCCTCCATTCCAGAACCCTACGGAGTGATTCACCCTTCGGAATCCACGAGTGAAGATGATAAGATCCTCGCTGAAGTGTATGATACCCAAGCTCATACATCTACGGATCCGACAGTTGAGGCCACAGCTCATCCTGGTTCCACCACCTTCAAAATTCGAGAGATTAAAAATCTTATTGGGAACTCATCTGCAAATGTCTCTGATTCAAGTCATTCTGCGTCTCCTGTTCAATCCCCAACCAAAGAAACGAGAAGGTCTAAAAGGAAGACTGTACCAGTGAAAGTTGTTGTAGAAACCAGTGATGACAGTGCTGATGTGGATCAGCCTGAGAAGAGAAGGAAATCCAGTGAAACAGTCAAATCTGAAGCTAATCTACCTGTTCAACAAGTGTTCAAGACACTGAGATCGTCTGTTAAACAAAAGGGCCCTACGATGGTTCAATCTGCTACTGTAACGACATCATCTACCAAGAAAGGGAAACCATCCACACGATCCAGAGGCCGAAGCATCTCTCCTGAAGGTCAACCTGTTGAAGGATCTGACACATCGGTTTACCAACCTCAGTTTGTATCCCCTGCTGCACAGGGAAAATGGTCTACTATGGTCAGAAGAGACCTTATTGTGCAACGTTCTGTGGATGAGAACCAGCTAAACTCTGTATGTGATATTCTACCTCTGCTGAATGAAGTAGGATTGCTGAAGATTGTCACTGCCATCTGCCCATACTCAAAGCTCCTCACGTATGAATTCTACTGTAATCTCAATGATGAGATTGACATCTTAACCGGACCACGACCTATGCAGATTTTCATTAGAGGGAAGTGGTACATGTTTGGGCCTGACATGATCAATAAATACTATGGACTGACAACTGTGCAAGAAGAGGCAATCTCAGACTGGAACTTGGTGGCCAAAACTCTTACGGGTGGTCAAATTGAATCTTGGCCTACGGGTGACAAGGATTATCTGCCGAGCTCTCAACTCACTTCCAGATATGTTATTCTGCATCGCCTGATGCTTCACAACTGGCTCCCATCAGCTCATTTCCATACGGTTGGCAAGCATCTGGCAGGTTTCTTGTTTCGAATTGGAACAAAGATGCGAATTGATCTGGGAAACTGGATTTACTACCACATCCCCACCTTGATTCATCCACGAGAGCAGAAGGTAAGGCTACCCTTTCCAAATATGATTTATGGCATTCTTACAACTCAGGGTCTTGAGCCTATGCCGAGTGAAGTGATCAGTCCAACTCTGCTCTATACTGTTGATAAGCGTCTTCTGATTGGAGGTCACATTCGCGATGTTATTCCGGTGACTGCCCCCTCCAATTCTGAACCTGATACTATGGCTTATGACTCGCCTCATGCAAAGGATCTTCAGCTCTCCATTCAGTTGAAGGCAAGAGTCTCTGACCTTGAGACAGTTCACTGCATTATTGCTAAACAACTGACAGGGGCCCGTACTGAGCTTGCAACCGTTTTTCTTCGTTTAAGCCTATCTGAATCTGCTGCTGCTACTGAACCTGCGAAGTCCGACAGTGACGCTCCCTCCAATGCTTGACCTTTGGCTCTCTTTGGCAAAAGGGGGAGTAGTATGTAGTATGAACTCAGGGGGAGTTTTTGTGTTTGTCTGTGTGTACCTTCTGGCCCTGGCTGGGCGATTGCTTTGATGGCACCACTGCATCTGTGAAGAATGATCTTAAATTGTGGTTTGATATTTTGTCTTTTTGATTTGTTTTCGCTCTGCTATGTAATCAGATCAAACTCATGGGTTGTTTCTTTATAATAACCTATCTAAGTTCTTTATGCTTTTGTCTATCTACATAGTCGAGTTATTTTGCCAAATAATAGCCAAAGGGGGAGTTTGTTAGTGTTTTTAATTGTTCAAAAAACCCCATCATATAATTGGCAATATTATTATGGCATACTAAGATAGGTTTAGCTTGTGTCGCCCATCTTTACAGAAGACTGATCAATCAGAAGCAACAACAGAGGACTGACACTGAAGGTCTGTTTTAAGAAGGTGTTTACTTAAAAGCTGTACGTGGTTTACTGAAGACAGATTTGGAAGGAAGATTAGCGTATCTGCTTTGGAAATGTATGGACCGGATCTTTAAGATTACATTCTTCAAATATTGTCCTACCATCTATAATCAAGGGCATCTATGGAAGGAGTGTTCTATCGACGAATCTATAAGTACCCGCATTCAAAGAGAATTAGGGTTATGCCTTTGAGACAGAAAAAACACTCCATATAGTTTTTATGAGATCTCATCTTTGATTTGATTGCACCTTCTCAACACAATATGTGTATGGTGATTATGATGATGAACATGAGAAGGATTTCTGCTGCTTAAACGAAAGGACACTACGATCACACAGTTGTGGGAACAACTGAACAGAGCGTCACTGAAGTGGACTGCATCAGAGTTGGCTCTCCAAGTGAAGGGATTTCCTTGGACTTCTGGATGCGTGGCTCTCCATCTTCAACAATCCACTAAACCAGTGTAGACTAGGTATGTACCTTGTGTGGGGCACTAGGGTGAGATTATTGTTTCTCTTCCTTTGTACATTGGATTATGATTTAGTGGATTGGACGCATATGTGATCGTCCCCCAGACGTAGATACACACTGTATCAAACTGGGTAAACATCTTGTGTGTTGGTGTGTCTCTTTATCTTCTTCTTTTATATTAACTGTTACTCACCTTACTGATTGATCTCATTAGTAAGTCAGTTAATCATATCCGTCAGTCTAAATACAGTAATCTTGTTTAAGAATGAGGAATTGCAAAAAATTACAAAATTTAAGGATTCAATTCCACTTTACTAAGAAGTTTGAAAGGTTATATGACCCGTATTTCATAATTAAAAATGATTGTGATTTTATAGGCTCACTTATGAATACATCATTACTTCATTACTTTATTTGTTCATTACGAGATTGCCCTTCAAGTTTCAGCGTAAACAATTCCCATTAATGCTTGCATATGGCATGACTATTAACAAAATTCAAGGCCAAACACTAACTCATGTTTGGTTATTTCTGAAAAAACCGGTGTTTAATCACGGTCAATTATACGTGGCTTTTTCCCGAGTCACACATCTGAAGGCCTGAAGGTGTTAGCTCTAGACAATGATGAACAATATTCTGTTACTACTACCGATGTCGTCTACAAAGAGGTTTTCAATAATGTGTAATTCGAATCGGTGATATTATATATTTGTTTTTTCAAATAGCACATTTTCTCAAGTTATACAAATCTTAAATACTGATATACAAATCCCAAAGTTTCAGCACTGGATGCTTACATGTACACATTAGCTATTATTTCAACAATTATTTAGTCAACTCAAGCAATTAACATCACAATATATAATTGATCCAAACCATCTTTTCAATTGCACTATAATATTTGATGTTACAATTTATATAATTATATATTGATCCAAATATTCTTAAAATATTTAACAAATGGAGAAATTGCAATTCCCTCCAACCAAAATATTGTAATTCTTGGAGAAATCATTCATGAACAAGATGAATGCAGTGGGAGGACGCTTCGTAGCGCAGCTGTGTTAGCGATAATGAAGTGAGGATTTTAAACAGTTGTGTCCTAATCAGAAGGAGGCATTCCGTTGGTACAACATCTATAGTATATACTACTCCCATGAATCCATCATAGGTTCCTTGCGAACCACTCCTGAAATCCAACACAGTAGTACCCTCTCTGTTCAGAAGTTTTCTCCCAGACCATATATGCATATGTGCAGTGCACCCCTG